TGGGAGAGGAGAACAGAATCTAAGGAAAGAAATCAAGGATAAGGAAGGTCTAGAAGTGTACGGAATGTTGAAGGAAGGAGTAGGGTTCAAGGGCTACCTACATGGACCAATGGATGCAGGAACAAAGCTTAAGGTCAAATTCAGGACCGGGGACATAGGTCTCGAGAACGTCGACGAAGACATAGGACGGTAGACGACGAAGACGACAAGTTCAAATGTGATTGCGGCTTCGAATGCGAAGACCTGTCTCTTATACACATCTAGATGTGTATAAGAGACAGNGGCCATCGGTGATCGGTCCTGTGGGAACAATGCTCCGTCCTCTCGAGGGCGCGTGGTCAATGGTCTATCCGCTAGGGCATGCAAAACATGAGAGTACGCCCCCCCGCCCCCAATTGTAGCCACGCCAATCATCTGTTGAGGTGGGCAGCACGAACAAGCACGGCAGGATAGGGGGGTATGGGGAGCCCAAAAAGTTCGAAAAAAAGCGCTACTTGGAAATACGGTCGTGGCTCCGAGAAAAGAGGGAGGGTTCCTTACAAGGCGGGCTCCGATATAAGAGGGTCGAAATCGGGTGTCACGGACTCGACCCGTTGAAGTATGGTAGTTGGGTACCCTGTTATCCCGGTGTAAGAGGTGGCTCCGATATAAGAGGGTCCAAGGGCCGTTGTCGCACACCACACCNTACAAGGCGGGCTCCGATATAAGAGGGTCGAAATCGGGTGTCACGGACTCGACCCGTTGAAGTATGGTAGTTGGGTACCCTGTTATCCCGGTGTAAGAGGTGGCTCCGATATAAGAGGGTCGAAATCGAGTGTCACGGACTCGACCCGTTGAAGTATGGTAGTTGGGTACCCTGTTATCCCGGTGTAAGAGGTGGCTCCGATATAAGAGGGTCGAAATCGAGTGTCACGGACTCGACCCGTTGAAGTATGGTAGTTGGGTACCCTGTTATCCCGGTGTAAGAGGTGGCTCCGATATAAGAGGGTCCAAGGGCCGTTGTCGCACACCACACCACGAGTGTAGCGTGTACATGAGAGTTGGCTTTGTTTAATGTGAAATTTCCTTCTTGGAACAGACAGGGTAAGTTTCTTGTTGTGTAGTGTTCGAATTGTACCTCATTATCTCAGTAACGTGGGGTCATGAGTGGAAGAAAGTAGTAGCCCTCTCTGTCGCTTTTTGTGTTTTTATTTTTGGTTTTGGGACTGACATATCGCAACAAAGCATCCGTTTGGCTGTAACACACTCTCACGTCGTGCGTTGTTCGACCCCCTCCCCCCTTCGTCTCCCCCAAAAAATGCAGGAACGAAGGCAGCACGTTCAACAAGTACTTCGGGGGGAGTTCAAAGAAGGGGGACAGGGGAGGGGACGGGAACGCGGGGAGCGGGGAGGAGGGGGGAGCGGGGAAGCTGAGCTCCACCTCGTTGGCGGGGCGGCGCGGGGTGTTTGCGCGATTGGAGTCTTCGAGGGGGGGGGGGGACGACGACTGGAGCCCCCTTTGCGCAGAGGTAGGTGTGTGCTGTCACGGGCATACGTTTTTTTTTTTTCACCTATTTTTATTTGTTGCGCCATTGAGGGTGTGCGTCAAGTGTATGGGTAATGCATAGAGGCTTTGCTTACTTAGGAAAAGCATGACCGAAAGAGTTACCCCCAGCCCCCATGCAGTACTCACCACGAAAGGACGATGTGCCCGAATGAGAAGATAATATTTGCAAGAGCTAATTATTGCATGTGATATCATAGTGCCCGAATGTCGGCGCTATCTCTGTTGGGAGTGGGAACGTTGATCTGTTGCAAGGGATATATATATTATGTGGCCAAAAATTGTCAAATGATGAATGCAAGCAACGAATGACCTCCCGGCCACCCCTCCCATGTTTTGTGATTGTGATTGTGTCCAGGCTACGGTGTTCGCCGTGTTTATCGTCGGGTTCTGCGCGACAATCGGGGTGGATCCGGGAAGACCGAAGCGAGGAGCGGGGTTTGCTCCCAAGGGGTAAGGCTTAGGGCTTGCTGTATGGCGCACTGCAGGTTACTTGTGGATATTCGCATAGCGCGCTGCGGATCACCTTTGCATCTCTGCATAGCGCGCTGCAGATCACATGTGCATTTCGAGCTGTCAACCAGCCAATTGCTCCGCTATCTAGTGTAAATTCGTATGTGTGTGCATTGTCATCGTGTCTCCGAGAACATTTCAACCCTTTGCTCTACCTGGTGGTAACAGCCGGACAGAAGGCATCCTCTCGTGTGTGTTTGTAGTCCCATCTAGTTGTCGTGGACGCCAGTCTACACTGCTGTTAAACACTGTATGGTATACCTTTCGGTACATAAGTCGTTGACGTGGCAACCGGAGTTATGGTCACATAGTAGGAAGCTAGAAGCACTGCTTGTGTTTGTATTGCAATTAATCGTTACTGGCTATAATAAACTGCCCTTCCAAGCTGCCTCCGACCCATACGACAAGAGGATCAAGTCGGCTCCACAATGTACCAATCGACTCCGAACAGCAGCGCGAAGTCCACTGCCCTGTATTGGCCTGCTCTGTATTTCACGCTTTTGGACGTGAAAAGTGCGTTCTCGCGGCAAAATTGCAGCGTTCATCACTTCAAGCGTACACACTACCCTCTGTTTCACGCCCAGCATAACACTGACCGCGCTATACTGGCCATGTGCCACCTGCCCTCGCTGCATCCCCCCCCGAAAAACACCCCCCTGTTTCGGGTTTTTAGGTCTTCGGAGCCCCCGCCCCCCTCCTCTCCCCCAGCGGTGGCGACTTCTCGCGCCACTGCTAACACCGCCGCCGCTGCATCGCTGACGCCGGTTGCGGTTACGGCTGCGGTGGCCGCCGAAGAAGCGGCTCGAACGACACCACCCACGCCGGACGAATCAACGGCGGCGGCGGCGGCGGCGGCGGCGGTGGCACCAGCGGCGACACCGCCCCCGCCTCCAGCGGCGGTTGCGATAGGGTCCACACCGGGCGGTTCAACAGGGTCCGCACCAACAGCAGCAGCAATGGTACTGGCAGGTGTAGCAACGTCGGGTGCAGCAGCAGACGTGCCCTCGGGGGAGAGCTCGGCTGAAGGTGCAATACCCATGCATGGGGAGGCGGGTGGCGTACATCGAATGGAGACCTCCTCGAGCCAAGATGGCACCAATGGTGCTGTATGCGATACTGGTGGCGGCGGCAGTGGTGTTGATGTGTGTGCTCCACCCTCGCCAGAAGCAGCAGCAGCAGCAGCAGCAGCAGCAGCAGCAGCAGCAGCAGCAGCAGCAGAGGCTGCAGGGTTGCCCGAGGTTGTGCCGGCGAAGGCACCACCGGACGGCATCGTGACGGGGGTGGTGGCAATACCAGAGGAGGAGGGAACAGCGCCAGTGGCGATGGCAATGGTAGAGGAACCTATCGAGGTTTCCACAAGTCTGTCTCCTGCCGCACCCAGTGGGAGCAGTTTGCAGGTAGAAGCCGCGAACGACGCGAAAGACGCGAAAGACGCGAAAGACGCGAAAGACGCGACAGCCACAGCAACGCCGACAGCCACAGCAACGCCACCAACGGAGGGATTAGCCGCCGTAGATAGCGACACTAAGATCCCAGTAGTGGCTCAAGCAGCGGTGGGACTGGAGGACGCCTCGACGGCCCGGGGGGAAAGGTCTCGAGCGGTTTCCGCTACCGGCGGCGGCGGTGGTGGAGACGGCGGCCGCGATCGTGATGCTGTTGACGGACATGTCCCTGCCCCCGCTGTCGAATCAACGGTAGTGGTTGTCAATAGCGGTAGTGTTGGTGCAGCAGCGGTGACAACCGGTACCAAGGGCGTGACTGCCGCTGTCGCCAACAACGGCGGCAGCAGCAGCAGCAGCAGCAGCAGCAGCAGCAGCAGCAGCAGCAGCGGCAGCGGGAGCGGCAGCGGGAGCGAGGAGAGCAAGATCGGCTCCGTCGACATGGGCGTTCGGAGGGCAAGCGTGGGTCCGTTCTCCGACACCGCGTCCTCTTCCGCCTCTTTCTCCGCCTCGTCGTCGTCGTCTTCGCTCTCCGCCCCTCCAGCCCTTCTGCCCGCCCTCTCCTTCAGATCGGTGGCCGTTGCACAGGGCGCAGCGGCAACGGCACCGGGGCCGGTAGCGTCGAACGCCGGCGGTAGCGGGGGAGATGACAGTGCGGTACCGACGGTGCTCGAGGCGGAGAAGGAGGAGGAGGAGGAGGAGTCGGTGAGGGAGACAGCCAGCGGGAGGATTGGCGGTGGCGTCAAGGTCCGAAAGTCGTCGAGGATGGCTTCGTTCAGCGACCTCAAGCACGACGTGCAGGAGGAAAGGCTGTACAAGGCCAACGCAGGTATGTAAGACTATGAACTGGTACCGTGTATAATATGGTTTTCAAGAATCTCCCAAGAAATTTCTTTGGGCTTTAATGTAAGACTGGCTTTAAAGTAAGACTGTATCATACGAACAGAGTTTTGTGTTATGTTTTCTGTTTGGTTGGTTGATGTTCGCTGGGCCATTCGAGTCGAGAACAACTTGAGCTGTGTGCGTGAGCTTTTGTTGAGCTGCAAACGCAGGTAGACACGTGCGACATCGCGTGGTACAAACACCCACCCAGCCGGGGTGGGGTCCCCGAATGAGGCGGTCGCCCTAGATACGGCGAGTGGAGTTGGCTGGCAACACGACATTATCAAGTTGTTCTACTAGAATACCGCGGTCGCCCTATTCAGCGCGGGTGGAATTGGCTAGCATAGACGGAATTATCAAGTTGTTGTACAAATTGAAGAGGCCGCTGTGACCCATACAAGGCGACCATCGTCAGCTGGCTGCCCCACAACCGCCTAGGTCAGGGGTATAACCTATAACCTATAACCTATAACCTATAACCTATAACCTATAACCTATAACCTATAACCTATAACCTATAACCTATAACCTATAACCTATAACCTATAACCTATAACCTATAACCTATAACCTATAACCTATAACCTATAACCTATAACCTATAACCTATAACCTATAACCTATAACCTATAACCTATAACCTATAACCTATAACCTATAACCTATAACCTATAACCTATAACCTATAACCTATAACCTATAACCTATAACCTATAACCTATAACCTATAACCTATAACCTATAACCTATAACCTATAACCTATAACCTATAACCTATAACCTATAACCTATAACCTATAACCTATAACCTATAACCTATAACCTATAACCTATAACCTATAACCTATAACCTATAACCTATAACCTATAACCTATAACCTATAACCCCCACTGTTCCTGTACGTTGACGTTGCTTTGCGTTGTGGTGGTAGGTGGCATCTCCGGCTGGATGTATCTATCGCACTATTTTTGTGGAACGCCGCGCCTTCCCGCAGAGTGTGGGGTCGAGTGTGGGAGCTATGTAGACCCAGGACCGAACGATGATGGCACAAAACTTCGATTGATGTAGATGAATCTTGTCCAACGAGCGAGTCCATAACGTACGGAGACCAAGCAAGTGCAAAAACAAACAGTAGACACAGAGTGGAGTCGAGCATGGGAAACTATTTTTTTAAACCCAGGACCGAGGATGGTGTCGTAAATTAAAATTCTCTTGATTGACATGAACCTTGTCCAACAAGAAAGAAGTAACTTGCCAGAGTTGTATTTTCGATCCTCGCCTAACTACACTAGAAGACGCTAAAAGACGCTAAAAACGCTCAAAACGCTCAAAAACACGAGAATAACCAGTCCCCGTTACAATAGCGTGTTGTTATCTGTCTGCTCCCCTGCTCTGCTGGCCTAGCTCGCCCCTATTCCCCCGGGGGCGTTGTTGGACACATGGCGTGCGCGACAATGTAGCGGAGGGCTGGTATCGTCGCCTTGTAGGCTGGCACGAAGTTCTTTTTGCGGAACGGACAAAGATAGATGATTTAGGCCTTGGGGGGGGGGGACATTTGTCTTCTTCACGAAAAAGAGCCTTGGGTTCTTGTTTGCGTGTTGATCTAGCTCGTCTTTCACGTCAAGTCTAGGGGGTTCTTCTCTTGTCTTGATCGTCCTCGCTCTCCTCGCTGCTGTGCATACGTACTGCGCATGCCTGTTGTGTTTGTATGTTTCGTATTGTGCAGCCTTGATGGTGGCCTTCGAGGCGCTTGATGCGATGCGAGAGAAAGCGCCAGCGGGAGAGGAAGCCGTGTATCGAAGCCTCATCTCCGCCTGCGGTCGGTGCGGGAACTCCGAGAAGGCCATGGCAGTTGTCGAGGTGACACAAAAAAGAAGAAATAGACCAGCGTCCATGCAACACGTGATACAGATTTTGTTTTTGGTTCGGTGAGGTTTCGCTGGGCTCTGCGCGTCAAAAACATGCAGCTCGCGCGAGCTGTTGAGCTTCGTGAAACTTCACAACGGGCAACCGGCAGCCACGGCCTGCTCCCTGCTTTTATTCTCATCTTGCATCACCCCTTTCGCGGCATCGACGGCGGACATGGAAAAGGAACAGACTCTACAAGGCGAGGCGCCCCCAGAAGTACCCCGTAACGGACGGATTCCTTGACTACAGGCCAAGCACCCAAAGTACCAGCACGAGGACCACACCAACACTCACCACGAACGCTGTCTGTGCTATTATGAGCCCACTCCAGAGGGATGGACCCCTTGCACTAAGAGTGCTTCTCGGCCATTTCTTGCATGTCGCTGTGCCTTCTAGTTAGTAACTACTCCGGAGGTATCTACGAAAAACCAGATGATGTCCACGCGTTTTCTCTACCTTCTTTTCCCTCGTTTTTGTCGTGTCAAGCGCGTCGCGGATGTGGGTTGATTGTACGAAAAAGAAAATGATGTCGGCCGGAATCGTTCCCGACTCATTTGCTCTATACCTGCCACCTTTTTGTGCTCCTGATTTTTCGTCGTTACATCAATACATGTAACAGATGATGATGTCGACCGGGATAGTTCCGGACGCGATGGTGTCGCGGTGCCTGGTGGACGCTTTCGCGATGGACGACAGCTTCTCCGACGGCGGCGCCCACCCGCTCTCCCTCCTCGACTGGTCCAAGTTCCAGCCGAAGCATCGGGACGGGAGGTGAGGCCACTTTCTTTCCGTTTATCTCCGTCAAATCTAAACTTGCAAATATTTTTGTAGTTGATCCTATAATAGGATGTGCCCAGCTCATTCGTCAAGATTTTGGTGAATGCAAATGTTCCTACTTTTCTGTAGTGGGTCGTGTAGGCAGTTGTTCCTGCTCTTTGTCCAGGTTTGGGTGTAAAGCACTTGGTGCCACTTGTTAGCTATGGGTCTGGTTAGGCAATAATTCCTACCTTGGGTCCAGCTTGGGCCTAGGAAGGGCGACTGTCACGTCACGTTACTTCAGCCACCCTTGACCCGCTCTTTCTCTTCTTGGGCTTGAGTAGTGTCCTGCCGAACGCATAGGGGTTCCGCGAGAGATGAAGGACGAAAAACCATCAGGACATTACCACACGTGCTTTCATCCAAACGGTAAACTGTTGAGTAGGCTTGCTGAGTAGGTGGTCAGATGGTTTGACAGCACCGCCATGTGTAGCCGGATGGACCAGGCGTCTTTTTTAGCGGGATTATAACGATTAACGCCTTCTGGTACCCCCCCACCCCTCCCCCGGCAAGATTCAGAGTGTTTCACCGAAAAAAACGAACTCTTTCCTCCCCCGTGTGTGTACGTGCGTGTTTTTATCATTGGCATTGACCCCAACCGTACGTGTACCTACATGTGTTTGTTTGCAGGAGGTCTCACGAGCCTGCCGGCGGGCGGACCGAGCCGACCTTCAGCTTGAAGAGGTGGGCGTTGGATCTAAACTATCTCTTCTCTTGCATGTCTCACAGGTTCCAGGTGCATGCTGAACTTCCCTCTTGTCATGCAAGTCTCAAGGGTTGTGTTGTTCTATTTACGTGCATGCAGACGTTATTTATCTCTTGTCCTACGCGTCATCGTCTCGGGCAAGCGTTGCCTGTAGCGTCCGTCGTCTTGGCTGACCTCGTCATCCATCCGGCTCTGCCTTTCCTGTCTATCATAACACACACGTCTTCTTTGGTGACGTCGACTCAATCATGTTGCCTTGTCACCCGTACGCAGCCCCACCCCACTTTTGACCGGCCAATTCCTGCCAATGTAAAGTATTGTACTGCTGAGCCGATTCTTGCCATTTTGTCGAGTGTCGTACATATATTTTGAGGCGAACGTCGAGGCTTGCTACCGTTCGGAGGCAGCCAGCCCGCTGTCAAGAGTCCCCGCAGATGGGATCAGTATGGAATACCAGGTACCCCATACAGCATGTACATGTTGACTAGTAGTCTTCTACACCGAGAGTTGTGTGCTGAATCACC